TTATAATATGTCAAGGTAGAAGATGAAGATTTGAGTTTTGGCCGAAACTTCGATTGTGGAATCAATCAGTATGCTGTTTGAGACCGTTCATTCCTTCAGTACTGGTGAGGTCGCGATATCCACTAAACTAGCGCTTTTCTTCTCCACCTTAATCGTAGTATCTCCTCAATCGAACTAATTCGATTCCTAATCACGACCCCCTCCCCCCTCTGTCTTACCCCAGTACGACCCCCCAGGTCGGGCGCGCCTGACCCCACGCTCAACCCTGCTCATGCCCCCTGCTTTTAGCAAAAATGCTCTTATTAGCAAGATTTTGAAGTTTCAAGCGGTCTCCTGTTCGATTTCTTGATTTGAGTTGGATATGATTGTGCAGGGGTGCTCGACTCAACTCTCAAAGGATGACAACTGCGGCTGAACCAGAATGTGCAACCCCTAAATTTTTTTCTGACTAGGCACACAAGTTTATTGTTGTACGTGTATTGTTGCTTCTACATTGCAGCGTTTTCTGTAACTGGAAAATCGAGTTTTATGGTGCAAAAGCGCGACAACCCTATGGTGAGGTTAGAGTCTGATTGTCAATATCAGCGATTACGCGGAGTTTACGAAAGCGCTCTTCACCTCATCTATCCAGAAGGATTAGTGGACTCCATGATTATCATTTGAAATGAACAAGGGCTTAAAACTCTTCAAACCAGTTGTTTATTGAAGCAGTTTGACTTCTGATGCCTTTGGAAACGAAAAATGCAAGGATCATCTTTCCTTGAGTAGCATGACAGGTCCTAGGTGCTGCAAAAGTTTCATATTCTGGGATGTAACTCTACAAAAAATGTGGGAGTTAAGGAATGGGATAATATTTAAAAAGGCCAGGTGTCTTTATAATTATGTCCAGCTTGTAAAACAGGCTTTTTCGAATTATTCCATTTTTCTCCATTCGAAATCAACAAGACTGAAAGCCGTCTTGAGGGGTCATGGTAGGTTGACATACGCACAATACAGCAAAGTTTCAGACAGATTCATTGACAAGAACGAAAATTACGACGATTTTTAGAGTGTCTCTATAAATATGTCCAGCACTGTAGTATGCCTATCTAACAGAAAAACTTCTGCTTTTGCTCCAAAAAAAAAGACGTAAAAAAAAATTCGCGTCCGAAGAATTACATTGTGGCGCGGCCATTTTGGCCTTCTTTAAAAAAAGATTTATTACGTTTTTTAGGATACATGTTTTCCAGAAAGCGCAACGTGTAGGTTGTAGCTCTTAAAGAGCTCTATCACCCCATGCAATCCAACCATTTTTTCATCTTTGTTTTTCATTCGAAAATGAGCGATGAAAGAAGGAAGGCGACTTGTCCGCAACTTTTTGGCGGTCACTGTATCTTATATATAAAGTTGAATGTGTGTATGTACAGGGTGTCCCAAAGAAATGTGAACACTGTTTGATTGTTAATAACTCCCTTGCTTCCATGTCTTTCGCTGAGCTTAAGACATCATTCTATAGAGCGAGGTTTAACTTAGATTTACAGTATGGAGCGAAACGTCGACCGCTCCTCAGTACTGTAGGATTACGGTGGGAACATCGACAAGGATTTCAGGCCATTGGGGGCCATATTCCGTCTCGGAACAAAACTAAACAAGCCAAAAAATTCTATACTATGGTAATGGAAGACGCTGGTTTCGAATATAAAATTTTCACTTTAGTGTGATGCTTCTTTCCAAGGTTATCCTAGGTAAACCGTAATAATTGAATTTTCAGCATTTGTCAGAAATGTGACTACATCGTCAAAAAATCTAAAAACACTCGTAAAAAGTTGTCTAATGGAATCAGCGTGCATGAAAACCCTAGTACACAATCTTTCAGATTTTTTTGAGAAAACTTTTGTCAAATGGCATATTTCACAAAAGATCCACATGCTAGAAGTTCTTACCGTAGTCCCACAGTAACGAACAGCGATCGGTGATTCGCTCCAAACCACAAATCTAAGTTGAACCTCGCTCCACAGACTGGCGGCTCAAGCTCGGCGAAGGACATGAAAGCAACGGAGTTATTAACGATCAAACAGTGTTCACATTTTTTTGGGACACCCTGTATGTCTGTCTGTATGTACGTATGTGCGGAATAGAAATTTTTATTTCTGAACCGATTTGGACCAAACTTGGCACACATATACTTCGGGTCAGGGAGCGTGTCATAGGAGGGGTTGATCAGCATCCCGGAGGGGTTGATCAGCATGCTCGATTACTCCCCTGTACAAAATCCCAGCCCCCTAGCTCAAATTTTGCAAAAAATCGGTAAAATCGATATCGATCGATAACGAAAGGTGGACTATGACACGCTCCCTGCCCCGGAGTGTATGTGTGCAAAGTTTGGTCCAAATCGGTTCAGCGTACACGGGCGGAGCCGGGTAAGCCAGATAGTAGCTCATACATGCGAAGTACGATCATGCGTTTGTATTCTTGTAGGTGCACTACCTCTTGAGAAATACTGATTTTTAGAGTAAAAACGGTAAGAAATCATGAGATACCCTAATATTCCAAATAGTATAATAAATTATGCCCACCACATGCTGACAGATATTAGGCACACACTTGAAGAAGAAGATTACTCAGATATTTATATTCCTTTGTCTGGGTAGTAAGTGTCAGATGCGCAATAAACGTTGGAGCAGTTGATATCATATAATTGCCTGTTTCTAACTAAACAAGGAAAGTGCTGTGCACTCTTCAGAAAGAAGTTATGGAAATTTCTTATGGATATTATGGATATGGATATTATTATGGATATTTCTTTTCACCAAACATGCACTGTTTTTTGATGCAGGATTAACGAATATCGTTGAAATTTTCGCTTACGCACTACAGAAGAGCGTACAGATAGAGTAAAGCTTCATGTTAAGCACAGAAAACTGTCATCCTTACATTAGAGACTAAAAAGCCTGGATAACTGACGATTTTGATTGCCTAAATCTCGCAAAATCAATATGGAAAAGTCTATAACATCGTCCAGAAAGTCGCACAGCAGACAAAGAACATAGATTTAGATTCAGCGTTTCAAGACGCACCTACTGGTGTACATCTCATTGCAAAAGGTCACGGTCACCAAGAATCCTTCCCTCGTAAGCAAAATTCACGCTGTTTCTCTCCAAGAAAAGTTTCGTTTTGAGAATTAGGACTAACCGCGAAGCTGATTTTTTGGGCAGGATTTTCATGGTGAAATATTCTTTTTTTCAAGCCCTATGAGTCCACGCTGCTCTACTAGATTTTTGATACTATAGCAGTAGTAATAAAAGACGCTTTTCAGAGTCACTTTCCCGGCATAGTTGGATAAAACGAATGATTTTGAAAGGTAAGGGAAGTCCATATGGCATCTCAGAGAGATTATCCGCTCTTGTCACACAAGAAAAAAAACCCCGAGAGAAGTACGGTAGCAAGAAAAAGGCCTTTCACTCATTCATCCATTCATTCAATCATTTGCTCATGTATTCACTTGCTTCGGCGATTCAAAAAAAACATTGATTCAAATAAAAAAACGATGAAAACGTACAAGTATAAAAAGCTAAATCATCTTTTAAAGTGTTTTTGCTATTTCCTTAGATCAACTTCGATCATCAGATTTTCCTCAATCTATAGTGAATTGCTAATATGAAGCTCAATAATCTTTTATTTTGTAAATTCAAAGTTTTATTTTTGAAATACTTCGCCTTCAAGCAGTTTTCCAAATTCTTGAGGTGCAAGTTGCCCATATTGATTGGAGAATTTTAAGCTATTTATCCTACTCAAATGTGCTGCTACCCTCTATTACTGTTATCCCAATTAGCTGTGAGATTTTGTACAAGCCGTTTTTCCAGCTTTGCCCGGTGATCCTCAGCGGCCAAATGCCTTTTTACTAAAGACTTTCTTTTTTGAAGTCAGTGAAAATTCTCAAGCTTGTACCGATTATTAATCTAACTGTGCTAACGAGGAAATGGTCAGAAACTAGCCCAGCCATTTCAAACACTGTATATCGTCGGACTCGTCTCAAAATGCTGTTCAAATATGTCTTTTTAGTCTGCCAAACGACTGTCTTGGAGGAGTTACGAGCGTTCAAATACGAGAAATTTTTCGAGTTTCGGCGCATATATTTATTTTCCCTAAAAGGCAGCTTGATGGCGCGGATTTACAATGGCCATGGTTATCTCAATTGCAAGGAAGGACCACATTCAGCAAAAACCCACATAAGTGTTTAAACGTGTTTCGTGGAACACTCGACAAATCGGGCATAAATCACCCATAACTCTTTCCAGATAGTTGCTTGGCTCACAATCACCAATCAGTTCACTTTTGGCTTACCTTAAAAGGTGAGCCTTTAGATTTTAGTCAAGTTCTAGTTCAAGCATACTCTGCTATTTTGAAAACACCCAAAGGGCTGAAATATTTGATCAAATGTGGACGTCTGTAGTCCCTCGCGAATTGATCGCTGCTGGTGACATGGCTTTAGTTAACATAACTTTAAATTTGTTTTCATAAAGTTTGAAGCAAGAAAAATGACTTTGAAGTAGAAACGGTCGTCCGCAGAGGACGGCGACCGTACAAAGCAGGAAAAGGCTGCTTGTACGACCTCTTCGCTCCCATCTGGATACTTCTATAGTAAAGGGTAGTAGAAACACTTTAGGACGATTAGATAGTGTAGAATTAGTTGTCCAGGGCTTTAGGATATGAAGGTTCTTTCTCGAGAAGATCAATTATCCATGCGGCCCGATAATTTTTACGAACCCTGCTATCGATCAAATCTCATGTTCCTGGATTTAGATAAACGATACCTACAAGCTCTTTATTGCCTTCTAAGATCGAACTTAACTTCGCTAGCTACTTTCTCCTCCTCCTTACTTAATGCGCTTTTGCTTAAGAAAATTTTTCATTAAGTATGATATTGCAGTTAAATCTAGTGAGTGTTCTCCGTTGGTTTTTTTTTGAGGTCAAAAATGTGTCTATTCATTGAAAAGCTTGTTTAACATAAAGTTTTTATTGCAGTACTAACAGAATGCTACAAAAGCGGAATGACATGCAGTCTCGTCGTTCTTCTCAAAAGTTCACGAATGTTTTGCACACTGGATCCACCTCGTCGCGTTGAAGGACGTAACATTCTAGCTTATCGTCTGCGCAGTTGATTGGTTTTTCTCCTTTGGTAAATGGGGTGCATGCATTGACTGCCTGTAAAAGATTATCATGATTTGATAGGATTGGGCGCTTTACTAACGTTCGAAAAGTACAAAAATCGAGCTAGAAGAGGTTCAAAAACTTATTTTTCCTGCGAACTGCTCCAAACCAAGAAATCATGTCAAAAAGCGTTGTATACTTTGTAATACTGCAAACAACTAACTTTGTAATGCATTACTGCGGAGCATTCCTTGTTTGCATAGCAGGCAGCCAAGCAATCATTCTTATTTGCATAAAGAGTTTTAAGAGTTTCGTTGCCAACGCGTATCTTACTCACTTTGTCAAAAACGCAGCACGAAAGGTATTCTACCTAAAAAAAAACAATTGCGGTAAGCTCTGACACTATACAGACAACAATGGGCTTTTCTGAGACCGGAACTTGACCTGGATGAAGAACAGGAAGAAGGCAAGCCACTTTGTCGCCATTGCAGCTGTTTGACACCGAACTCTACGGTTGAATCGTCTCAAATGCTCAGTGGCTTTGGGGTGGTCCCATAGATACCAGAAACAATAGACAATAGCAATACAAATTTGTTTCTAGGAGATTCGGTAAATATATTAAATTTTATGTAAGTCTCCTAGAAACAAATTTCTATTGTGTACTCGCAAATTTCGCTTACACCTTTGTTCAACCTTACTACCATGAACGGATTCTAGCCGAGATTATGCTTTGAAGGCATACGCAAGATGAGAATATCAAAGCATCAGAGAACCTTGTGAATCATCCCATATGGGATTTTATAACAGTATATTAGCATGATGTCCAATTGACGTGAGGATCAGTAAAAAACAAAAAACGAAAAACCCACTACTATGGTCATCTCAGGAGAGACTGGAACGTAATACGATTGTCATACAAGGTTTTTTTCATTTTTTAAAAAATTTTACGTTTCTTATCGGATTCCAACAAAGGTATATTTTAGATCATTGTAAAAGAATTTCCGTTTTCAAATGGCGCCATTTGATGGAAGAAAGATTTCTGGGAGTTCTTGGTAGCATTCGATGCAGCATTTAATTTTCTTTTTGATGTCTATAAATTTATTGCAGATCGATCTCTTGTAAAATTTCCCGACTCATGCCTTTTCAGATGCTCAAGTTTCACAACTTCTCCAGATTTCTATATCAATCCCCCAAAGGAGTCCATGTAACAGGTGGATAGAGTAAGAAATTACAGGAAACATCATAACTTTCTCCTTTTTCCGCTCGCCATAAATTTCCAAAATTTTTCAAGCCACCGGATTCTGGAAGGCCTACGTCAAATCGGAATATCTGATTTCGAATTTCTCCGGTACAGCCAGGGGCGGGTTTAAAAATATGAATTATAATGATTTGATCTCCATAGGCTTCACGAAGCAGAAACAAAAAACACCCATTAGAAAGAGGAGAAAAAGCTGCATTGAATGACACCGGTGCTCATTGTTTGATGTTCTACGAGGTTTGAGTTGACCATGTATGGAAAATGATAGCATCAACAATTTTATTAGAAATATGACGCGCTCTATAGAGGAGGGAAGAATTGCTTAGTCTAATGTAGGGTTTGCTCTATTCATCCGTTACTTGATCTCCTTCGGAGGATTGATAGAAATATTTAGAAAAATTGTGAAACTTGAGCATCAGAAAGCGTGGCTCGCAGATTTTGGTAACTTTTCAAGAGTTTATTGGTACTTCTCAAATGAAACTACCATCGTTAAAAAGAAGGTAAAATGGTGCATCGAAAGCTACCAAGTTCTCTATCTTTGTGCCATCAAACGTGGCGCTTCCTTGAAAAAAAGCGAGATTACCTTCGGAATGATCTAATATAATATTTACGATTGCAAGCAAATGGGCTCAGACCTCATTTGATTTTTGCAATACGACACAATTTTGCTCATAGTTTTTTCTCCTGCGTTGCACTTTATTTGTAAGATATCTATTAGAGCGAATTTCAGCATTTTTACGGGCGTGGCAGTTCCTCATTAATGTCTCGTCGACTAATTATCCCTTAACACCCTTCAAACATCTTCAGTCGTAAACGAGCTCGATCACGACTGCCTATGGAACAGTTTCTTGCACTCGATAATGAATGGACATGCATTTCAGTACCCACCTACTTTTAGCTACCCCAAGGAGACTTGAATTTTGACCAGGTTAATATTTCTGGTAGACTCCATTCTATTCTTTCCGAGCACTTCGTATTGAGCAACTTTCATTCCTGGCTTGATGGGTCCTAAATATGCATTGCCTTCTCCACTTCAGATTTCGTTCATTCTGCTGATTCATAGTTCGGTGTGATCAGGGGAAATATGCGGACTAGCAGAGATTCAGCGATGTCATTTCTCCCCGAAGCACGAATCTAGTCAAGGTGGCTACTGTGAATTTTGGAAGACTATAAAGAAAGAATAGCTGCGCAAGTAAGAAACGGACGAGTTCTCGATAGCATCGATCGCATCACATATTTAATTCTTTTTACAGCATTTCTAGCAAGGTTATCATCTTAGTCTCTGTTTTTCTAAGAATTCTTCGCTCCAAAAATCGAACTTTTTAATTCAAACCTATGCAGAATTGTAATGTTGTGAAGACCTGGATAGAGCGGGTGTCCTAGAAATTTTTTTGCGAGCAAAGGGCGGCACCCATCATTCACGAGGGTTGCGGCTATACTTAATTACTACACGAATAAATTTTGGAAAGCGTTCTTCATGAAAATCGTAAAATTTTGCGCTAATTCTGAAAGTTTATGAGAGAGAAGGAGAGAGAACGTTTCCCTAAGAATTCTTAATGAGGCTATATTAATTTCTCGTAATTTCAAAAAAGTTGTCATTATTGCAAATAAAAACAAGTTAACTGTGAAATATATTAGCTCATACAGTCTACAGAATTTTTGAACGCATTCTCGAAGTGGGAGAGGGAATCACTTCACATGGCAAATCGTACTTGACTCAATTGCCGGAAACGTTTTGAGCTCATGGAAGCATAGGCTCAACTTTCGAAAGTGAGGTGTTAAAACTCAGTGTTAATACTCATAAAAAAGTTTTTCAAAAACTGAAGGCAGTGGCGTACCGACTCCCCCCCCCCCCCCCTTGGAAATGGACCGTGAAATTTTTTGAAGTTAATTTCATGAGTTATAAAAATGTACAAAGTGACTTGTTCATGCTTGTAAGCAAAAAATAAACCCTTCAAAATCTTTTGAAGAGCGCCGTGCTCCCTTTTTCTGAGATCTCCGGATTATGAGCCCGCGGAAATTTTGGGAAGTATACCAAAAATTTTTTCGGTTGCGTGGCTAATGCCACGCCTTCATCAGAAAATTTTCTTGTTTTTTTGCTAATCTCCCCCCCCCCCGGAACGGAAACCTGGATACGCCACTGACTGAAGGGTATCTTAGAGGAAAAGTTCAGAAACTGTCTTGTGTGCACAAGACACTGTCTCATAGAAGGAAGTATCACCCCATGTTTGTTCTGATCAATTAAATTAGGGCAAAAATTAATCTTAGAGTTTGCCGCAGCATCAAAATTTGTATTTGCTGCTCTCAACAATCAAAAAAACAAAGTGCATCGACTCTGCTTTGTCTTCTCTAATCTATTAGTTGATTTCATTCTGCAATCACGCAAGAACTAAATGCCGAGTTGATTTTACCAGAGCATTATAGTAATGAAAATGCGAAATAAGCCTTCATAAAGAGAGATATGTTTTATATCAGCTTTTTACTTAGCGTTGCATGTCAGATCTCCCATGAACGCTTTACTTTACTGGTCTGTGTTAGAGCTTTAGCAGGAAAGCATCTAGCAGTTGTATTTTATGGAAGACACAAGGCTATTTATAGTATTTTTCTGACCGTACTCGATGTAGCAAATGGAAGGCTATATTCTGGGGTTTGAGGGGTGAGTCTGATAATTGTTGTCTTGATTACAGAAGCAATTTTCAACTTTTCAGGCTCCTAGGGGTTGGTGTTTGTTTAAGACAAAAACTCCCAAAGGAATTCGCTTAACCTGGGATCTTTGCACCAAATTTGATGCAGAGAAAATGAAAGCTTATTTCAAACACTCACCTACAATTTGAATTAAAGAATAAAGTTTTTTTAATTGATATTACATTTTTATCCTTGAAACCATATAAGCTTTTATTGTTTATGGATGTTGGTATACATGTTTACGTTCCATGAAAAGTTTTTGCCTCAAGATACCATCGAATTGGCAAAAATCAGTCAACATAAAGCGGGTAAACCAGCGTTAGATATAAAATTTCTTCTCTGTTCTCATTTTTATTTGCCTCTTCCCCTGCCTTAGCAGTTTGCATGGGCACATTGCAAAACTTTTACAAAATTAAAAATTATTTATTTTTCTATAGAACTTGGTGTATGAGGTTGATGGGGTAGAGCTTGCTAGCAGTATATCAGCCAACCCTATTAGTTTTATGAAAACTCTAACTACTTTCAGTAATTTTTCTCATGGCTTAGACAACTATGCTTCCTTTTCCGGAGCCCTACAATTACAAGCTTGATGAAAAATAATTTTTATTTATCTCTTCTCCAAAAAAACCGAAACCGCATTGTTATGTGGATATGAAAAATAATTCTCGCTGTTGTTTTCAACTCCAAAGACAATTTTATTACATTTGAGCAGTACATAGTACAAATATGAATTCGTACATATGAATCGAGCGTAAAATTGTTCTATTCTATGTACAAATAAATTAATATTTGCATCTTCATGAAACTATTAGGTCATTCCGAAAGTAATTTCGCTTTTTTCAAACAGACGCCACATGTGATGGAACAAAGGTTTCTAAAAGATCTTGGAAGCATTCGATGCACAATTTCGTCCTCTTTCTAACGATTATGAAGATGTTGCAAGACAATCAATGAGCTTTCAGAAAATAATCAAAATCTGCGACCCATGCTTTTTGAGATGGTCAAGTATCACGATTTTTTAAAACTTTCATATCCATCCTCAGAAGGAGTTGAAGTAAGGACTCGATAGAGTAATCTTTATGGAATACAGTGCCACTTTTTTCTCTTTCTCGTATCTCGCCGTAATGTTTTCTAGATTTTTTAGCAGAATTATCGGATTTTGGCAGGCCCACCTCAGCCACAATCGCATCAAACATCATAATTTTTTCCGAATTTGAGACTACCAAGATGGTACTATGAGTCAGCATTAATTTTACAAAGCAAGAGGGTTTACGGGTTCGAAATATCAAATTTCGAGTTTTTCGGGTACAGCCTGGGACTCGCTAAAAAAATTAGTTATGATGATTTCTCCCCGGATACTAAACGAATCGGAAACAAAAAACATCTATTAGAAAGAGGAGAAAGTACTGCATCGAATAGTGCGCGAGCTGCCTTTCTTTTTATGTTCTACGAGGATTTAGCTGTTCAAGGAAATCGGTAGCATCAGTTAAAATTCTGTTAAAAAATTATGACGAGCTATGGAAAGGAGAAAAAAGTAGTACTGTATCCTATAAGGTTTACTCTGTCGAAATATTACTTGAACTCCTTCTGAGGATTGATATGA